ATCCTGCCACCTCCACTCCCCTCTGCTCTGAGGACACCTGAGAGCTAAGCATCCACCTGCCTTCTAGCCACTCTCAGCAAGTGGAGGACCCGTGAAAGGCCTGGACGCCTCCTCCGGCCACCAGGCTGTCCAGCCAAGGTCATTTCTGAGCAGCCCATGAGCCTCTCACTGAACAGAAGTGTCGTTGGTGGATGTCTGCTCGGGCTCTGCCCGGGCCCCTCCCCCGTGGGCCTCCCTTGCCCCAGAGCCTCTAGCCAGGCTCCAACCTGGGCACTCAGTTCTCTCCCTGCCCCTCTCTCCTCTCCCAGACCTTGAGCAGAGGATCCTGCAGACGTTGAAGGGCGCTGACACCCCTTTGAAGGCTGCCCAGCTGGCAAAGGAATGCCAAGTGCCCAGGAAGGACATCAACCGTGTTCTCTACCGGATGAAAGAGAAGTTGAAAGTGGATCGCGATGACTCTGCGAAATGGCGCTTGAGAGAGGGTGGGCCTGGAGAAATGGTTCCCACAGAGCCGGCCCAGCCCAGCCATGGTAACCTGCCAACCTTGGGTGGGGGCGGGGCACCCAGCACCAGCAGTCCTGGCAACGGACAAGCCTGGATTTGGGCCTGGGTTTGAATACAGGCTCTGCCCCTCGGGGGTGCATACTGTCCCCTCATCGTGCCTTCACTTCCTCTTCTGGCCAATGGAGATAAGAGCAGGGCTGCTTCGTAGGGTTTCGAGAGGATTAGATGCAAAGGGTTCAGCCTAGTGCCAGCACATAGTAGGTGCTCAGCAAAGTACAATAATAACAGAAAGTAATGATGACAATGATGATGATGATGATAGAACAAAGTTAACGTCACACTAGATCAGTGGTTCTCAACCTTCTGGCCCTTTAAATACAGTTCCTCATGTTGTGGTGACCCCCAACCATAAAATTATTTTCGTTGCTACTTCATAACTGTAATGTTGCTACTGTTATGAATCGTAATGTAAATATCTGATATGCAGGATGGTCTTAGGCGACCCCTGTGAAAGGGTCGTTCAACCGCCAAAGGGGTTGCCACCCACAGGTTGAGAACCGCTGCACTAGATCCTCTTAGCCAGTTCTGTAGCCCACAGACCAAAAGAGCTGACATTGGTCAAGTGCTTGCAATGGGCCAGGGTGCACCCAGGGTTTCCTGGATGCGAAGAGACGGCACTCAACCCCCTTTTCCCAGAGAAGTTAGGTAGCAGGGCAGCCGCACAGCTGGAAAGAGGCAGGGCAGGATCAGAGCTCCCAACACCTTCTGCCTTCCCTGGTAGAGTCCCGTCCCCTCCCTGCTCCTCCACCCCTGGCCGTCTTCCTCTCTCCAGCAGACGGGACCCTGCAAGACACAGTTGCAGTTCCCAGAAACCTGGCTCTCAGCTGGGTGACCGCGGAAGCGTTGGCTTCCTTTCAGCTGCTGGGACAAGGGCCCGTTTCCTTCGCCACAGGACCTGCTATGAGAGTTCAGGGCCGTGACCCTCCCACCCCACCGGGAGGTTCCCACAAAGCACCCTGAGGCAGCGCTCAGTCTCTGCGGTGGAAGAAGCTAACGGCCCGAGAATCGATTCCTCTGGTCGAGAGCTGACATCACTGTGCAGCCCCGTGCGCCAGGCGCGCCCGGAGGCTCGGTGCCGTCCCCGGCCCCAGGACAGCCTCCGTGGGCACTGTGATTATGCGTGTCTGATGGACGAGGGAACGGGCTCAGAGGGGCTGCGGCTGCCCAGGGTCGCACAGCTAGTAAGCAGTGGAGCAGACTCAAACTCCGAGTCCTCCTTAACCACCCACCCTCCTGCCGCCCACAGAGCTGCAGGGACAGATCTTACGGTTGCTGGAAGCCAGCGGGCCCCAGGGGGCCGTGAGCATCGCCCAGTCCCTGGGGATGAAGACGTCAAAGGATGTCAACCGATACCTGTATGCCATGCAGGAAAAGCACCTTCTGGACTTGGACAAGAATTCAAAAACATGGGCAATTTATCAACCAGGTAGGCCCTTTCATGCTTCCCTGGGCAGGGCAGGGAAAGACACGCTCTGATGCCCAACGTGTGTTCCTTGCTGGGCACCCTGCTGAGCACTCGGCCTGCTCCACCTTCAGAACCTCCCAGAAGCTTGCACTTGTCTTGCTGACCAGTCACTGGAAGGGGTTCCTGGAGGGAGGAGCATGACAGGGGAGTAACCAGGGAGGGCCTCCTGGAGGCGGGGCCTGAGGCTGTAGTTGCAGAAGGCAAGGGGCTGGGAGGGGCGGCCCACTCCTGACTGTATTGGCCTGGGCGCAGGGCTCAGCCTGAGGTTGCTGACAGTTCTGTAGGCACTTTGCCCAACTTGGAGTTGGCATTGCTGAAGGAGACCAGGCTGGGCTCAGATAGCCGGGGGGCGGAGTCCCAGGGCGACTTATCCACCAGGTGCAGCAGTCACAGGGCCTCGAGCCCACGGTCCTTTTACAGGCCCACAGAAATGTTCTCATTTCTCTTAAAATCAGAAGAAAACAGTGAACGTTATAATCATAATAACGACTCTCGCTTAGATTATATGTCTTTATCCCAATGCAGTCATAACATATAATTTTAAAAAATATGTTTAATGGAGGAAGTGGGCCCACAAAGACACAAGAGCCCAGGGCCCATGGAGGTGGGAATGTGACCCGTGTGTGCAGCGGCGAAGCCCCGGGCAGGTGGCCCGCGTGGGCGGACACCCCTGCTCCAAGGGTCCTCAGCAGTCTAGGAATGACGCCCTGCGACAGCAGGTGGATTTTAAACACTGGTCACAAAGGCAAATTCTTAAAAATGCCTTGGGAGGCAAGCAAAGCTTATCTGTGGACAGCCGCCAGCCTTGGCTGGAGGGCGCGCACGGTCAGCGTGTGGCTGCTCGAAGGGATGGGGGCAGAGGGCAGGTGAGCAGGAAGCTCCCCGATCCTCTCGGGGCAGCAGAGGACACTCAGGCAGGGTGACGATGTCCAGGGGAGGGTCATCCGAGATGCCGGTGGCATTTGTCAGACACGCCCTTTCCTGGCTAGGGGCTCCAGACTCAGCACCCCGGTGGGCACTGGGACTCTATGTCCAGGTTTGCCAGGAGACGTGGTGCTGCCAGCCGGCAGTTGGAGCCCCAGATCCGTCGGGGGATGCGGAGGGGTTGAGTGGCATGTTATTCCACAGGGACTCCCAGGGCCCCCCCCATCATTTACCAGCAAAGCCCTGTCATGATCTGTCAGAACGGACCCTACAGCCACATCTCCATCCAGAACTCCGAAGCCGTCCAGATTGGACACGGGAACAAGATTGTGAAACTAATGGCCCCTGCGGAGAGCGGTGAGTCCCCTGGGAGACGCCCTGGGAGGACCTGGGGCAGCTGCTCTGTCTGGGTGGGTCAGGGAACAGGCAGTCAACCCTCGGAGGAGAAAGGGCGGCCTTCAGATCACCACGGTCCTCCTTCACGGCCTCCTGAGAGTGAGGGCGTCTTTCCCATGCCTGGATCGAACCTTCCTGATCCCTTTCATTCCAATACCGTTCGCCTCATCCCCAGGGGACCGATCTCTTCCCATGAGAAGCAGTTCGGGTCACTCCCCTCAGGAGGAGGCCACAGGGCCACTGCAGCATTCTGTTTATTCGGAGACACACATCACATGTCACATCTCTAACACTGGAATGCCTCTCGCCAGTGGCACCCCAGTCATGATGAAATACGGCCCTGCAGGCACTGTGGTGAGAGGGGACAACAGTGAGAGCACCAGCCCCCAAGTGGGAACACTCCCTGCGACTTCTACAGAGCCCTTCCCGCTCTGGGCCTCAGTTTCCCCAGCTGTGAAATGAAGAACTTTGAAAATCTAGATCAACGCTTGCCCAATGTCAATCCTCTGAGCCTCCCCCCCGCCCCCCGATTCCAGCCAGGCCCATGCCTGACTGTTGACTCCATGTTAAAGGGTTTCCCTTTCATTCTGCTCAGATGTATTGTAGAGTAAATTTGGGCAGCATCACCTCATGTGGGAACCAGGAAGGTCACCATAAAAAGCACTGAGAGAAGTGCCGGAGGCTCTGAGCCCGGTTAGAGCTGCGCTTGCACCAGAGGGACTTCCTCCCGAGGGGCTGCGCGCACTGAGGGTGGAGGGTGGGCTCGCTGTTTGGGTGTCCAGTGCCCCAGTGACACTCTAACTCCTGGGGACCCACCTTTCCGATGGGGCCAGGAAGAGTCCGGAGGCCTGTCTCCTGTCCAGCCAGCCCTTGGTGTGTGTGGATGTTGGGAGGGTCAGAGGTCATGTTGCTGTGTTTCCTGCCAGGCTCCACGGCTCCCTGCTACCTCCCTCCACCACCAGCAGCGGGTCCCTTGGGTCAGGATCCCCCGGCTGGATCCTGGGGGCCGCAGGACATCCGCATAGACAGTTCTGTGCTCAAATGCGTGCAGCTGGGACACAGGAACGAGATGAACGTGCACAGCACCCCGGCCACGGGCCCTGGCCACAGCCCCCCAGGTAACGGGGGGTCATGCAGCCATCCGCCCCACCCCACCCCACTTGGCTCCTCAATGGATGGAACCTAAGCCAGTCTTTGCAGAGAGAGAGGCATGATGGGAAATTCCTTTCCACCCACCAGAGTGGAGCAGGTGGGGCTTTTAGAGCTAGTCCTCAGGCTCCCAGCCCTACTAAGCCCCTCAGGAGCCCTCAGTGTTTTCATCTGTACAACGGGCGTGCAGCAGCAGAGGTCGGGGCAGCTGAAGGGGGGACAGAAGAGATGGCCGACTGGGATGGCATCTAGGAGGGTGGAGGACAGGAGCCACCAAAGGACCTGGTGCCCTCCTACACACTGTCGATGGTGACCAGAAGGCCTAGGCTGTACCCTCCCGGTCACTAGTAATCAGAGTCAGGCTGGGGAGAAAGCCAGCAGAGAGGCCTGAGAGGGAGGGGAAGCCAGGGATGCAGGTTCCAGAAGGGGGAGACCAATGAGGCCTGAGGAGCGCCATGGGGTCCAGCCACCAGGGTCAGCGGTGACCTGAGGGGACAGAGGAGTGTGGGGAGTGAGAGGAGGCGGCTGAGTGTGGACAGTCTTTTCCGAAGTTTGGGTGGGACTGGCAGGAGCAGGACAGCAGGGGCTGGCGCCTTGAGAAGATGTGAACCAAAGCTGGAGATATCGTTCCAGAGCAGTGGTTCTCAACCTGTGGGTCACGACCCCTTTGCGGATTGAACGACCCTTTCACAGGGTCGCCTAAGACCATCGGAAAACGCATATATAATTACATATTGTTTTTGTGATTAATCACTATGCTTTAATTATGTTCAATTTGTAACAATGAAATTGGGGGTCACCACAACATGAGGAACTGTATTAAAGGGTCGCGGCATTAGGAAGGTTGAGAACCACCGATCTAAATATTTCAGATTTTGTGGTCTGAGGCAGGGGAGGGGGTGGTTGAGTCCCAGGCACAGCATGGAGGACCAGGTCAGCTGGGCAGCAGGAGGAGGTGGGACCCACGCTGCCCCCTGGGGGCAGAGGACAGAGAGCCTGCAGCCCAGACAGGCCACAGAGGTGCCAGGGGAGGTGGGGGCCAGGGCGCCAGCGCAGGGATGGCTTGAGAGCCAGGCTGGGGGTCCCGCTCTGGCCCAGCTGCTCACCGCCCCCCCTCCCGTCTCTCTCGGGCTGACCCACAGTCTCTGCCGCCACTGCTGGCCCAGAAGAAATCCTTATGCCCGCACCAGGACCTCACCCCGAGGGGGAGGGGGACGCGGCCCAGAGAGTCCCCATCAAGCCCTGCTTCTTGGAGGAGGACGCCATCGGCAACAGCAACAGCCTGAGTGTCTGCCGAGCAGGGGCAGGGGCAGGGCCAGAGGCCAGCCGCGGCGACCCAGGGGAGCCGGCCGAGGACGCGGGTGAGCCTGGGACCTGGTGGGCCCCTGAGAGTCCTCTCTCTCTCTCTCTCTCTCTCTCATTCATTTCTTCACCAGTAGTGCCTCCCATTTCTCGGAGGCGGGGGCGGGGTCATAGTCAGGAGGCTGTTAGAGGTGCGGGTCAGATCTTTCTAGCCCGAGACCTAGCCCATCCCTGGGCGCTGAGCCTGTTTCTCCACCTGGGAAGGGAGGACCTACTCAGCCCCACGCCTGTGATGCTGCCCTCCTTGGAGCCTTCCAGAACATGTCCCCTCCCCTGTCCTCACCTGCCTGGCCTTAGCCACTCAGTCCCCTGGTTCTTCTCAAGAAGCAGTGGTGTAGCCACCCTTGTCCATCTTTCTGAGAGGAGGAGGCAGCGGCCATTCATGCACTCACGGGTCCTAGCCCCGTCTCCCGGAGGCACAGCAACGAGCAAAACAGATAAATGATTCTGCTCACGGGGACCAGGAGCCAGGAGGGACAGGGACAACTCACAAAGCAAGCAAGCAAGCGTTTCCAAGAGAGACGGGCGCTGTACAAAACAACCCCGACTCGGGGTACACGGGGGCGGCGGCAGCCTCGTGATGGGAGGGGCGGCTTGCTCCAGGCGGGAGAGGCTCTGGGAGGAGGGGCACCAGAGCCAGCCAAGCAAAGATCTGAGGGCAGCATTGCAGGTGGAGGCAACAGCCAGTGCAAAGGCCCTGGGGTGCGAGCAAGGGGGACCTGTCCAGGAGCAAGAGGGAGAGTCCTGATGAGCGATGGGGGGGTGGTCCCTCCACACCAGGAAGCCCCGAGGAAAGGTCAGGACGTAGCTGAAGTGAGCCGGTCCCTGGAGGGGCAGCTCGATGAGCTTCGCCTTCAGAGTCTCCATGGATACAGGTCGGGACAGAGCAAGGGGGTGGGGGAGCAGGGAGCTACGTACTGTCATGGTCCCCAGTGAACCAACTGGCCTGGTCACTGAGGCGAGGCGGCTCACGCGCTCTGGCGCCATCTCTTCCCAGCGCCCGGGTCCAGAGCTGCAGAGCCCAAAGGCAAGTTCCCAGATGGCGCTGGTCCTGCTGACCCCGACCTGTCCACGTTCACCTCCTACCTGGAAGCCATGACCCTTGCAGACCGGGATTCAGAGGCCCCAGAGGACAGCCCCTGAGTGGACTGGCCCCAGCACAGGGTCCGGGGGGAGGTGGGGTCAGAACCAACAGCCGAAGGCGGACAAGGCCGGGAGGGAGCCAGCGGCGCCACGAACCCCGAACTGTACAGCTGTGTCCCATAAATGTCACTGTTGACCTTCTCGCCTCCTGCCCGAGGCCAGCATGAGTGAGCACGGGGGCTGGGTCAAGGCTGGGTCTGTGGTGCGACCCCCAGGACCCTCGGGTACAGAGCAGTGGGCTGATGGGAGGGGTGCTCCGGCAGCCGCAGGGCCCAGGCCGCACCCCCCGCAGCCTGCTGGACCACTTTGCATCGAAGCCATGACCCTTGCAGACCGGGATTCAGAGGCCCCAGAGGACAGCCCCTGAGTGGACTGGCCCCAGCACAGGGTCCGGGGGGAGGTGGGGTCAGAACCAACAGCCGAAGGCGGACAAGGCCAGGAGGGAGCCAGCGGCGCCACGACCCCCGCACTGTACAGCTGTGTCCCATAAACGTCACTGCTGACCTTCTTGCCTCCTGCCCGAGACCAGCATGAGTGAGCACAGTGGCTGGGTCAAGGCTGGGTCTGCGGTGCGACCCCCAGGACCCTCGGGTGCAGAGAGCAGTGGGCTGATGGGTGGGGTGCTCCGGCAGCCGCAGGGCCCAGGCCGCACCCCCCGCAGCCTGCTGGACCACTTTGCATCGGGTCCCAGGCTCTCCTCACTAAGGCCTGACCTTCTGGGGGGGCGGGGGGGCGCGGAGGGCCTTGCGGGGAGGAAACGAGCGGACCACGTGCGCCTGGGACTTGGGCGGGACACTGCGCTCTGAACGAGCCCAGCCACCTGCGCACGGATTCCAGGGAGACGGGCAGGTCCTGAATTCGCTAGGGCCCGGGGCCTTTCCCATGGGCTGGCGTTGCCCAGCCTTCTGGGGACAAAGTTATCTTGGCCAGCATGGTGGCCTGGGCCCCAAATCACTCTGGCATTGGCTATCCGGTTTGCAAACATGCCGCCAGGTATTGGGGCTTGACATGGGCTTTGGCTCATTGCTCCTGGCTCTGGCTGCCCTCCGTGGTGAGCTGCACACCCACAGCTTGCCGCCACGTTTGCCCGAGGTCTGTGGTTAACCAGGTCCTTGTCAGCACGATCAGAAAGCATCTCAGAGCCCAGCCTCGGCCCCCACACCAGAGCTGCTCCGGCGAGACTTCTCTCCGTGTAATTAATTTGTCATAAACATGCTGACAAAGCGTGCGGCCGTTAATGGGGACTGGAGGTGAAGGGCAGCTCTGGTCTCGTCGGGAAGAAAATTAGCTAGCTACCGTCAGCAGCGGAGAGCGGCTAAGCCTGTCCATCCCCCACCCCGCTGCCCCTGGCTCACCCACCCTCCCTCACCCTTCATGTGCACAGAACTTGCAGCCTCCGAAGTTGGACAGCCGGGGGGGGGGGGGGGGGGGGCAGTTACCCCATGAGTTAGAAGGGCTTTTCCAAAAGCACCACAGCCTGTTCCCAGAGGCAATTCTATTTTCTCACCCCAGCTTCCCTCCTCATCGCAGGTGGGCCCAGGAGGGCTTAGGCCAGAAAAAGAGTCTGGGCGGTGATTCAAGAGCATCTGGGCTGCAAGCGACAGAACCTTAGCTCGCCTGGGCTTCGAAAGGGGAGTCTGGCCCTGGCCGGGTTGGCTCAGTGGATGGAGTGTCCGCCTGCGGACTGAAGGGTCCCGGGTTCAATTCCAGTCAAGGGCACATGCCTGGGTTGTGGGCTCCATCCCAGTAGGGGGTGTGCAGGAGGCAGCTAATCAATGATTCTCTCTCGTCACTGATGTTTCTATCTCTCTCTCCCTCTCCCTTCCTCTCTGCTCTCTGAAATCAATAAAAATATATTTTTAAAAGTAAATTTTTTTTTAAAGGGAATCTATTCTCTCATGCAATTGGGAAATCAAGGGATACCTCCGTTCAGGAATGGCTGGGTCCAGGGGCTCAAGCATTCTTGTTAGGCCCCTTTCTTTCCATCTCTCTGACTCTATGTGGCCACCAGTCACCCAAGGCTTATGACCTGCCAACTTAGAAAGAGAATTCTTCAAGCCAAATACTGCTGGTAGAATGTCCCAGGGAAGATTCTGATTGGTTGAGCACAGGTCACATGCTGATTCTTGAACCAGTCAGGGAGAATGGAGTACTCTGACTGATGTGATGGGGGAAGTGAGGTCATCACGTGGACCTAGTCCTCAGGAAGGAGAAGGAAGGGTGCTGAGCTGGCAGAAATCAGGTGTCCACTTCAGGAAGCGGGTGTGGGGGCTTCTTCCCAGGATTCCCTGAGCATGGAAAGGCTTTCTTTATTGAAGGAAAGAGAAAGCACTTCCCTTGAGGGGCAATCATGGGGTGGAGTCACTCCGTGGATTTGTGTGGATGCCCGTCATTTAACCCTCTCTGTGTGTCTGTTCCTACTCTGCACAACATCAAGAATGCCTCTTTCACAGAATTTTGGGGGGACAAGGTGCAATCGGTGGGCATATGCGGCTTTAAATTGGGGAGTGTGCACGGTGGCCAGGTATGGGGTCTTTAGTGGCCTGTAAATTACAGAAAAAAACCCTACTCAGATTTTATTTTAAAAGATATTTCACAAGACATTTGAGATAAGCTTCCAACTTGAAGGTCAGACAAAAAGCAAACAAACAAAGAGAGGAATTATGAGGAACTAGAGAAAATGCGGCCCTGGCCAGGCACTCGGTGGTTAGAGCATCATCCCGAGACGCCATGATTGCAGTCCCATCCCAGGTCAGGCACGATCATGGGGTGGAGTCACTCCATGGATTTGTGTGGAATCCCCTCATTTAACCCTCTCTGTGTGTCTGTTCCTACTTTGCCCAACATCAAGAATGCCTCTTTCACAGAATTTGGGGGGGACAAGGTGCAATTGGTGGGCATATGCAGCTTTAAATTGGGGAGTGTGCATGGTGGGCAGGTATGGGGTCTTTAGTGGCCTGTAAATTACAGAAAAAAACCCTACTCAGATTTTATTTTAAAAGATATTTCACAAGACATTTGAGATAAGCTTTCAACTTGGAGGTCAGACAAAACACAAACAAATGCAAGAGAGGAATTATGAGGAACTAGAGCAAATGCGGCCCTGGCCAGGCACTCGGTGGTTAGAGCATCATCCCGAGACGCCATGATTGCAGTCCCATCCCAGGTCAGGCACATACAGGAAGCAGCAATGAATGCATGAACAAGTGGAGCAACAAATCAGTGTTTCTCTCTCTCTCTCTCTCTTTCTCTCTCTCTCTCTCTCTCTCTCCCCCCCTCTGCCCCCTTTCCTCTCTCTCTAAAATCAATTTAAAAAGTGGAAAAAACAAAGACAAAAATGCAGTGAACAGAAGAAAACACCAAAGCTCCGTCATTAACATCCTCCAAAGAAGAAAGTATATCACAACCAGGAAACAAGAATGATTTGCTAAAAAAAAAAAAAAAAAAAAAGAAAATTTAGGAAAATGAAGAGAAACTTCTCGACATTTTAAGTATGAAAGCTGAAATTTAAAAAGAAAAAGCAATAGAAGAATTAGAAGACAGCGAGAAAATTTTCCCCAGATAAGTAGATAAATATTTGTTTATAAAATCAACTTGGAGGTCAGACAAAACACAAACAAATGCAAGAGAGGAATTATGAGGAACTAGAGCAAATGCGGCCCTGGCTGGGCACTCAGTGGTTAGAGCATCATCCTGAGACGCCATGATTGCAGTCCCATCCCAGGTCAGGCACAGGCACATACAGGAAGCAGCCAATGAATGCATGAACAAGTGGAGCAACAAATCAGTGTTTCTCTCTCTCTTTCTCTCCCCGCCCCCCTTTCCTCTCTCTCTAAAATCAATTTAAAAAATGGAAAAATACAGAAGAAAACACCAAAGCTCCATCATTAACATCCTCCAAAGAAGAAAGTATATCACAACCAGGAAACAAAAATGGTTTGCCAAAAAAAAAAAAAAAGTTTAGGAAAATGAAGAGAAACTTCTTGACATTATAAGTATGAAAGCTGAAATTTAAATTTAAAAAGCAATAGAAGAATTAGAAGACAGCGAGAAAGTTTTCCCCAGATAAGTAGATAAATATTTGTTTATAAAATGGACAATAACAAAGGTGAGAATTTTACAGGATTAATTGAATAAGCCCTATTGCTCCTTAGTGGAGAATATGGATAAAGTAGGAGGCATGAATGATCAAACACAAGGAGTCCCCAAATGATAGACTGAATTTTTAGGTGGAAAAACCCTCCTGATACTTGCAGGAAACAAAAATGGTTTGCCAAAAAAAAAAAAAAAGTTTAGGAAAATGAAGAGAAACTTCTTGACATTATAAGTATGAAAGCTGAAATTTAAATTTAAAAAGCAATAGAAGAATTAGAAGACAGCGAGAAAGTTTTCCCCAGATAAGTAGATAAATATTTGTTTATAAAATGGACAATAACAAAGGTGAGAATTTTATAGGATTAATTGAATAAGCCCTATTGCTCCTAAGTGGAGAATATGGATAAAGTAGGAGGCAGGAATGATCAAACACAACGAGTCCCCAAATGATTGACTGAATTTTTAGGTGGAAAAACCCTCCTGATACTTGGCCCGGTGACTACAAGCCTCAACCGAGGGTCCTGTTCTAATGAAATTTTGGAAAACAAGGGATAAAGAGAAGATGCTAAAAGCCTTTGAGGATTAAACAAAATAGGATCGAATGCCAAAAAGTATGTTGCATTTCAAATGACAGGCTGGCTCCATAGCAACCTGGGTGGGGGAGCGCCTTCAGGGTTCTCAGGGAGAATGCCTTCGCCTGGCTGTGCTGTCCCCTGAGGAATTCTCTTTGGGAGAAAAGGTCTGTGAGTGAAATGGCTCGTGGACTTTCCTCCCACTCAGACCTCTCTCCTAAAGCCAGGGCGCCGGGAAGTCCATGGGGCGGACCCCAGCAGCAGTGGGGTGGGGGGGGGGGGCGGGGAGAAGTCTGATGCTGGGCAGAAAATCGATAGAGCAGCCGGGCGTGCCTGGAGTGAGAGGCTGGGTGAACGTGGGGATGAAATTTCAAGTGGAAAAATGAAATTGAGATTTAAAAATAAGTATTTATGAGTTTGTTAAGTGTTGATTGACATATTGCAAATCTGTCTGTTGGAAGTTTTACATTTAAGAAAACTGTGTGTGCGCGTGCGTGTGCTCTTGTAAACAGACTTCGGGTAAGGCCTCGTCCAGCACCCCGACCAATGTGGCCAGCTGTCCCCCCGTGTCTCAGTTCGGCCTCCACAGACTCAGACACTACACGGCGATCTCCCAGCCCCAAGGAGTT